GATTTTCTTTGGCACATACTTCCCACTAAATGAATTTATATGCTTGGAATACATATTCCAGTCACTTCTTTTAACTTCTTCATGAAGTTACGTTCTTTGCCCTGGAGAGATCGAGAGACGGAAGTGTACAGAACTCCATAGAAAAAGCTATGGTTTTCATCATGACTGTTTAAATACGTGTGGCGGCTTCTAATCACATCCGAAAGCTGTTATCTATCTCTGGTTTATGTTCTGTTGATGGTATTTTCTGCAGTAACATCTAGAGGGAAAAACAGAGTTCTACTAACTCCTGTTTTCATGCCTGTTTTAAATTGTGGGGAAATGTCTCCTGCTGTTAAGAGCTGAGATGTCCATGGCAATCATGATTTCAAGACTTTGTTTCTGTCTTTAAAACCTCAAATACAATCTATGATAAAGAGTGCGAAGTATATTTATACTAATGCATGAGAATAATTACTTGTGCTGTCCAAGACGTGTAATTGTGAAGGTATGCTGTAACGACAGGCCACTTAAGGCCTTGCATCTTTCTTTATGCTGGTTAACTTAAGCATAAAGGCATTTGGCTTTGTGGGCATTTTCTCTGATATTTAGAACAAAAAAAATGGGGGTTTTATTTCATCTGTCTTGTGACCACCAACAGCATAGACTTTCTCAGTGTCCTTTAAATTTAATACCCTCTTTAGTGGGTGTTTCTTCCAGCATGTGGATTCCCAACTGCGTTGTTTTTTTTCCAGACGTGCTAATATTTTTTTTTTAACCAACTATGCATATATATGATTACTAAGATGTACAGAGTTATTAACAAACAAACTACAAAATTAAGTATGGTTGCAAAGTGCTTTTTGGCAGATGTTCATAGGCCTGTCTAAAATCTTGCTCTCTCTGATGTTCCTACTGGATAAATGTTTACATCTCGGATGTCCCCTTTCTTGGCAGCTCAAACAAAGAGGTGAAGAATTGTGTAAACTTTGTAAGCTACCTTAAAAGTTAAGGAAAGTCTGAAAGAGCAAGATGAGGGTACCCCCATGTACTGTGCAATAAAGGATTGTTTCTAGAAAGGGGCTCTGTTCTATTTTCACCAGTGTTCCTTTTTTTTTTTTCCTTTGACAATGAAACATCGATAGCCTTGTACTCTGCAACTTTGATGTTTTGAAAATCTGCCAAGCCCAAGTACACTTAATTGCAGGCTAACTTTTAGACAAAAAGACCCATTATCTCTGTGTACTGGAACTGACCAAATAAAATGTGACTCTTTGTAAAACAGGCTTGAAAGTGGGTGAAAAGGAGTGCTTTAATCTTCGATAAAGATGAATTACAGGTTACACTTCTGAGTTACACTTCTGTTCTTAAGTTTTCCTTGTGTGTTTCTAAGGGTTTTCTCAGACAACTGGATGTGAAACTTGTTTTCTGGTCTCTTTTTGAGTATAATATGCATTCAGTTTGGCTATAAGAGTGTGGTTTGGTTTTGTTTTTAATAGAACAGCTTGAATACTGCCAACACTGAACAACAAACTAACACAGACTTCAGATTCCCCCTCTTTTGGAAATCCATTTGGACTTGCAAAATAATTCCCTCAAAAATGGTAAACACCATTTCTGCTCAGTTTTACTGAATTCTTGCTTAGACTGGAAATCATTCCAATGTCCTGCTTCTGCCACTCTCTGAATGATGTGTTTTAGACTTAGAAATTGGTCAGTAAAGAATTTTGAATCTGAAACCTCTTAATTTCTTTGGCTGCAGATGGAGTCATTGTTCTTAGAATTTCTGGATTGCAGTTGGTCCCTGGGTTTGGATTCAAAAGGGACCACTTACTGTTTTTGGAACTACTTTAAACCAGTTTCTATGCAGACTCAATCTTGACAAAACCAGTGTTCTAGATAACGTCAGTTCTGAACCAAAAGTAGGCACGCTTGTGTGTTAAAACTGATCTTCTTGGGCCTGTCACTGGTTAGATTTGCCTTTGTAAATTGTGGTGTGTAAATTGTGATATTCATGTGAGTATAATATCAAATGCCCCTGAAACATTTTCTTATCTTTCCAGGCTATGACATTAGTGTCATTTTTCTTAATATTGCTGATGGATGAATACCCTTGACTATCTGCTGTTAGATGCTTATTAGGAGTAAATGCTGTTCCTACAGAGGGCATTACAATGGGAAAGCCTTTAAAGCAGACATACATACAGATATAGAATATAAAAATTAGACCAATTTGTAATTGCAGGAGAAGGAAAGAAGGAGGGTTCCAGAGACAAACGTGGTTTTGGTCACTCTGGTTCTGAATCAGTCACAATGTACCACCATCATCAGTCTTAACTGGTTTTAAGAATTCCCAGATAATGACTGTAGTGGTTTGCCAGAAAAGGTGAAACCTGTCTGTTTCTTCTAATGTCAGCACAAGTCTAATAAAAGATACTGTTTTTTTTCTTGTAAACCTTGCCTAGGTAGGTTGTTCCGTCACATTTTTTTGATGTGATAATATTGTTGATTTGTAACTTATATTTCTGCTCTCTAGAACACAGCCTGCATTTTAATGGCTTGGTTAAAAGCTGAAAATATGAAATACTCTCCTTCATTTATAAATATTTATAGTATATCTAGGCTCTAGTAAGCCACACAATGAATTTTTGACCAGTGTGGCTTTCATTAAGGTTTCCATGGAAATTATAGTACCCCCTGGCTGAATATAAATGAGAGCTGTGCCTATCATTTTGAATGTCAATTTTACCTAAAAGATGGAATATCGGAGGGAACAGAGTTCTGCGCTGTATGTGTATAATAATTCCTGCTCTCATGTTGGGACTTAGTGAAGCCTTGTTGTTTGGATATGTTTAGCCTAGTGATAAGGAGCGATGAGAACTGCCAGCTCCGAAGTCCACTCCACATGAGTCACGGTTTAATGCTCTGGGGCTGTTGTGGGGTGAGGCGTCTTATGGGCAGGAAATTCTGAGCTGACTCAGCTGCAGTCCGAGTGCACTGCAGTGTATCGACAAAATGAGTACGTCTTTGTGTTCTGGTCATCTATTCATAGGAAAGCTGAGAAAATGGATATTGTTAATGAGCATCCCTTGACTTCCCGAATCTTCTTCCTTTGATGTAGTTTGTAAACCAGGGGGTGCAACTCTGAGTGAGGCTTTAAATTAGACCCATTTCCATTTTATGGCTTTATAGAATTTTTCTAAGGAGCTTTGTGGCATTTCATTTTTATATGATTACCGCTACACAAGACTACAAAGAACTTGTGACACTAGGGTGTTTGGTCTTTTTGGCTCAGTAGAGAGGATGGTAATACTCCAAGTATATTTCATTTTGGAAAAAAAAAAACAAAAAACAGAACCTTTTTTTCACCCTTTGGAATGTATTCTGGTTTAATCTCAGAAGCAAAAGGCTTTTAAGAAGCCTCTCTGGAGAGAAGACAATATGTTGCCAATTTATTTCCTAATTGGCAGATAGTGGAAACTCTTGTTTGGTGTGGCTGTTGGTATGTTTGAGGATATTTATTGCTTGCTCTTTCTCCGAACAGCGTTGTTTCAGAATTAATATTATGCTCTAAAAGATTGGAAAATGTGGTAATGACAACTTCTCATGAAGCCAGGCTGGTAATGAGGCTACAGTTGTAGAAATTCATTATTGTAAGAGTTGCTGACTGTAACCTTGTGACAGCCCTACTAGTAAGTGAAGCTCTTCTGTACTTATATATGAAGCTATTCAGTCTATCCATATATTAGTATAGAATAGACTATTCCAGTTGGAAGGGACCTACAATGATCATCTAGTCCAAACAGGAAAGAATTATCCCACTGTTTTGGTTTTTTCTTTTTACATTTCTGTACCTGAAAAGCAAATAATGGTATGAAAATAATAAAGGAGATCTTAAGTCTTATCCCACTCTGCATTCTCCCTCCAGGAGCTGGTGATTTCAGATGTGTGGTTACAGCCTGTGGGGGAAGGAGTTGGGTGTCTGATCTCAGGCAGTGTGTTTGCTAACTGACTCAAGGTCTGACACAGATTACGTGGGGAAAATTGCCAGTAATGTGTCTGTACCTACTATAATGGTGCTGTGTATCTTTAAGGATTAAAGCAAATGTACAGACATTTCCTGGTACCTGAAAATTACACCAGTTGCATATGTAGAATAAAGGGGTAGATATGTGTAAAATAGGGTAGGAGAAGATGCTGATGCTCCTTGTGTTGACCATTTTAACAATGCTGAAACCTAAGTGGTTACCATTTTCACACTTTGTAGTCACACAGTCTCCATGAACTAACTCAAAACTAACAGAACTTTCCTTTGACAGCATAGTAAGATGGGATCAGTTGTTCAAGTGTGATACTTTTGTTTGTGTGCATTATATATATTTTGTACATAATAAATACTGTGACACATCAGAAAATGTTATATTATGTGACATTTGTCAAGTTTCTTAACTGTAAAATATAAATGTTTGAGAACTGAATGCTTCCTGGCTGTTATATCAGTTCCGACAGGTAGCTCTTTTGAAACACTTTAAACAGAGAAACTTTTAATTGTGAATTGTAATTAAGCCCAAAGGGAAATCAATTTATTGAAGGTGCTAAAATGTGAAGCAACAGATTTGTTATAGATAAACTTCAAAAAAAGTATGTATTGTAGCAACTCACTCCTACTGTATTTAATCATCCTGTTAAAAATCTTTTTCTAAAAGCATAGCGAATGGATTACACAGGACTTAATTAATAATTTGAGCCAGCTTGAAATGCAATATGAGTTTTACCATTTTAATGCAAACAAGGTTAGAGTGTTGAGTGCAGAGCAAGTCTGGGACTGACTATTTCAGACAGCCAAGCCTCGTCAATAAAACTTGCTTTTACAAATAGATTGTGCTCAGTTTAGGTAATGTGTTTTAGCATTATTGGATGTTAATAACCCGAAAGAATTCCCACCCTCCCACAAGCTCTTTAGCATTTCGAACAGTAGTGAATGCTGGCTTTCAGTAGGATATTGTTTTTTGTTTTTGCAGGTCTATAAAGGTGAATTTCAGCTTCCTGACTTTCTTAAAGAAGTGCCACAGGTACAGTATTGGATTAGTTTTCCTTTTTGCGGATGTAGCAGCAAGTCAGTATGCAACCAGTCTTTATAAACCACTTCTTCATAAATTTGATTCTGTGTTATCATAGAACAGCTGACTAGAGATTGTAGGAGAACAGCTTGTCCATGAGATTGAAATCTCCACTGTTCTTGCACTCAGCAGTCCCAACCCTCTTTGGAGTGTCTGTGTAACACCAATGTTAACAGTACGGTGCTTGTAAGCCTGAGCTGGCTGAATATTGCTGTGAAACTCAAGGAAAGTTTGACTGTCTTTTGTGTAGCCCAAACTGCAAAGTTTGTTATTTGTAGAGAAGCTTTATCTTTCCTTGCATAAGGAGAGGTTTAAAGCCGGTATAGTAGAGAGCCGAGGTATTTCATGAGATATTTTTAAAAAGAAATAATCAGACAAAACAAACAAATCCAGTTCAGCAGCAGATAGTGGTAGTGTGTTGATTGAATAATAAGTGAGCTACTGAACTTCAGGTTTTACTGAGAATTCATAATCTACTACCCTTCAAATGCTGTTAATTGTCATCAGCTACCTAAGGGACCTAACCTTTGCAACAGCGGTTGAAAAAGCAGAATCCTTATCATGGGGCTCTCAAACTGCAGGGTTTCTTGATACCTTCCCCCAGCTCCTCTGTGCGTGTGTGGGAGGTGTACTTCCAACCAAATGCCCTTTCCTCGTGGAGATGTGATGGAAAAGTTTGGGGCTGTAACCGCTAGCCTGGTTAGGGACATGGGAGTTCAGTTTGGAAGATGGCATCCCTTGCTGCTAGGCAGCTCTTCTCTGGCTCCTGGAGGTGACAGAGCAGACAAGAGGGACTTGTTTCATGGAGCTGCCTGTTGGAGCGCTCCCAAGCTACTTCTGGAGTAGCCTGAAGGGCTTCTCTCTGTGTGGGTTGTTTGGGTTTTGGGGTTTTTTTTCCTCTCCAGTGGGTAGTGCAATTAACTCTCACTTCCATCGCCTTGCAGATTTAAGCTCTACTAATCCAGCCATGAAAAATCAAAGCAGATGTTCTAGACAAGGAACAAATAATTTAATTCACCTTTATCAGAGAAATAACAAAAGTATTTGTATTTTAGTGCTTAAATGAAATATTTTATATGAAATAAGCAGAACATGTAGCAGTTGGTTTTGTTTTCTTGGGTAAGAGCTGCTCAACTAGGGTCATAAAAATACCAGGTTTTGTAGGTTGTGTAATTGCTGGTAAATGTCTAAATGCCATGTAAAGTGCTCTCTGTGATTTGATAGAAAAACAGGAAGTGGCTCATCACTGTTACTGTCTCAGGGTGTGTTCAAGTAAAGCTAAGTAGAAAAAGATTTGGGTTTTTTTTTTTTTTCAATTCTGCATATACAGGAGTATAGCACTGCAGAATTGGGAGAGAAAGCATTTTTAGGGGCGCTCTGCCTCCAGAATTGTGCATTTCCACTTGCTTTACTTTAGATTTCTACTCGATTTCCCATCCCAGAAGTTTATTTAGAATGTAAGTATAAGTAGCCTATCAAAAGTAAGGTAATTTGCAATGTTTTTACTTTTGAAAGAAAAAAGGCAACAAATAACTAATGGGCACAAGCTTTCTTGAATTTGGATCCCCAATAATAGGAAAGGACTCTTTGATTATGACTTTTGTTAGAGGTAGAGATGGAAGAATACACAGGAGAAACTATGACATGCAACCAAATCATTTTGACTTACTCTGTTCATTCAAACAAAAATTAATTGATTAAAAAGGAAAATCGGTTTCTTTTATTCCAGCCAAAGAAGACAGTAGAAAGGAAGTCTCGTGGCAAGATAAAATGAACACGGATCAGTAAAGTTGAATAGCTGTAGTGTGTGTTTCATGTTTCCAGAATATAACCTTTTGCTGTGGACACCAAATATTTCTGATAAAATCTGTGATCTGTAACGTGGGCTTTGCTCTCTTACTGGATGTTTGCCTGCTCTCACCCTTTGAACAGTTAGTGCTCATGCTTTGCAAACTGTGCTCAGCTCATAGAAAATCATTAAGAACTTGGCATCACGCAGCTACGTGTGCTGTTGCTCACAGCATTGTCCACTCTCAACTGCTGGCCAAAATGTCGATGCAGCTTAGCGGCAAGACAACTATTTAAATGTGTGCTGCTTAAAAGTTACTGTCAGCAAATTATACTGAGAAATTGTGCTGTAGTGATTTCTAGTGCTTTCAAATGCAATTATTGTGGTTATTTGAAGATTATCTACAACCTTACAGATAAAGTTGCAGCATGCGTGGCTGCAGGCATAGAGTGTGTCAGAACAGAAGATTAAATATTACTGATAAGGATTTCTGGAAAATGCAGGGAGATGAGCTCTCTTTAAAGTTTAGCACACTGTGTATAGATAGTGTGCTAGCAAAATAAATGATCCCTGATCTGCCTACAGTATCTAATAAACAATCCTTCATCTGCCTGCAGTATCTGTTAGTTAAATCACGCTGTTTGTATATTGCAATTATCCTGTGATACATCAAAAGAACTTGGTCCAGTATTTCTAGTGAATGTCCTCTTTCAATCCGTATGATAGGGAGGTTTTCAAGGGGACTCTGCTAAATTTCAGGAGGTGGATTTATACAGTTAGTGTGGTATGATTAGGGTATGTTCCAAACTCTGAGCACACTTATCTAAAGTAAAGAAAGATCATCTAAAAAGGAAAAAGTTTCGTGAAATAGTAAGACAATATTGCTTAATCCATAAAAACTGATACTGGAGTTGAAATTGATGCCGATAGTGTTCACCTTTAGCGTTCTACTAAAGATAAGATTAACATAAAGTAACTAAACAGCTAGATGGCTTTGAGTGCAAACACTGGTGCTCGTAATGGTATTTTTTTCCTCTAAGCTAAAATAGCTAATTTCATTTTCATTATTTACTTAACAGACTGAACCTATGGAGTAGAAGATACAATGGATATTTCTTGCACAGAAGGTAATAAAATAGCCTGCAGTCCTGCTTATTTGCTCTTCTTGATTTAGTTGATTTTTTTTTTTTAACTTTAAAGATTCTGGGTAATAAAAATATGAAGATATGGATCTTGATTCAGAATTGGTAAAAATCACATTGAGGTAAGTCCTAGCGATGAGAGCTACGAAAGCGTAGTTTGTGTGCTTTAAGAATCACAGTGCATCTCTACACGGCTATGCTATTGCATTGTCAGCACGATTTTAGAGCTTGAAATTGAAAGGAGGATGTAAAACGATAATACTACTTGGCCAGGCATTCTGTAGCAGAGTTTCTTGTTCATTTTAGTATCTGTGTGTTTTTTCAGTCCTATGGCATACTTGCACAACAGATTCAAGTCCCCCTTTTAACAAAATAGTGAAACTTTAAAGATGACTCTTAACCATCTTTGTCTTTTGTTCTTAAATCAATTGCCCTTTCTAGATAGAGGAAACTGCTAAAGATGAGCTGGTTTGTATCGTTTGTTTTTAATATGTTCCATAGCCAGTATTTTCAATAAGCTGCATTTTAGTTGTTGAATTAACAATGGCAAGATTGTGCAGGGACCTCAGTAAATTCCAGACTAGTTAGCGAATGAATGGTGCAAGATTTACTGTATTATTCCAGAATTTTTACTTGCCAACTGTGTTATCAAATGTTCTAGCTTGACAACAAAAAATGGCAAAATGCATCCAGTCTAAATATAGCCAAAAGCAATATGCCACACAAAGATACCCAGCAGAGGTATTTATTGTAGTGGCCATAAATACAGCACTCTCTATAGCCCTAAATATAGCCAAAAGCATCATACCAATTAGAAATAATGGATATAAAAGTTTTCAAAAGATTAACTGCAGGCCTTCAACCTGAAATCGATAGAGAAACCATAATCTTTTCATGAAATCAATGTTCAAATGACTGAAACATCTACTTCATTCTACCATTCATTCCAAGAGTGATGGTCTTTGAAAAATGTATTTAAAAGTACAATATTTCTATCTAAAGCTGCTGTCCAGTTTCTCAGAAACCAAATTAACTTCCCAGTAGTAACTACCACTGGTACACTGTAATGAAAGAAACACTTTCAGCATGTGAACGCAGCCCACTTCCACAAGTATTTTGAATGTAAGTGGAAATTCAGATGGCTATTTATTTTTCTTACATCTAAGTGTCCTCCAAGAAGTAACTAAATGATGGACAAGGCAGCCACATTCCATACAGGGAAGTTTTTAGTGGCTGTGGTTAGTCTTGGCAGTGACTTTTCACCTGCTGAGATAAGTGATTAATCTTAATTATGCATTATTTGTAATTGCAAAATGTTGTCAAGGATAAAACCAGAATATTACATTGAAAGCTCAAACATAACTTAAATTTTCTTTTTCTTTAGAAAAAAGACTGCTGCCTTTTGGATGGAAACGATCTTACAAGGATTGTGCCACTGAGATCAGTGAGGGGTACTGCTCATGGCCTGCTTCTTTTAGAATTTTCTCCCCCATGTCTTTCATACTGTTTTTGTTCAAAATTTTGCTGTTGTGAGCGCATGTAAACCTGTTTAAAAAAAAAAAAAAATCACTGATGTTAATGTAGAACCGTATTACATTTGCACAAGAATTTTTTTTTAAGGTTTTAAAAAATGCGAAGCAATGCCTGATTCCAAAATTGCTATTCTGTCTTCATTACAAAACTCCACCTTCAAAGACTGATTTATTTTTTTTCCTGTAGCAGTTTGGTTTTAAATGTATGAAACTTTCAAAAGAGTGGTCTGTGCTTGTCCTAAAAGATTTTTTTGGTGGAACAGTTGTCTGTTTTATTCACATGTGGAAATTGTTAAATATCTTTTATTTAAAAAGAAGTTGATAAATGACATGTACAATTACAATTCAATGATCTTTTGTATTTTATTTTTCAAAATAAATGCTTTAAATGTGATTTTTTTTTTATTAATGCATTTGCCTCATTTAAGATTTAAATTTTTCATTTAAATAATTCAAGATACTGATGTATTACTCAGATGGAAGGTATGATGTAATGTCCTGGGTTTGGATCTCTTTTTAAGGTTTTCAATTTAATGCATTTTGTTTGCTTTTAAATAGCTGGGCAATGAGGAAAAAGTAAATGAGAGTATCCTACCGAGAGGCATACAGGATTAATGTGAGATTTGTTTACTGCAGGAAAAAAGTAGGTAATTTTTAGCCTACTGAATTTGTTCCTCAAAAGCAATTGTGCTCAGACAGGTGCTGCTGGGCTGAAACTGCTTCTAAAAACCCTGCTGGAAAGCTTGTATCCTAAACCTTCGAGCATCTGCCGGTCAGTGAAACATCATTATTCAAGTAAGGGTTTTCTTGGGGGTGGTTTTTGTCTCATTTTCTGTCCTTTCAGTGGCTCTTGGCATACTGAAGGTGGCCTCAGCCTGCTCCACTGGTTTTAAGAGAAGAAATCTATTCTTCCAAAAGAAGCTTTTTTTTTTTTTTTTTTAGAAGAAATCCCAAGAAAATACTTGTGTTTCTACAAATTCTGCCTCTTAGGATTTGAAACAGTTTTGTTTTTCCTGTTTCTTTTGTTGCCACAACTCCCTTTGGAGATCACTGACGTATATTTGTAAAACCAACAGTGAACGAACGGCGTTTAAATACCTTAAAGAAAGAAGTTAATTTTACAGTTTGGTACAGATTTCCCAAGTCCTTACCCGATAGGAAAATAACGTTGTTTGCAAAAGCGAGCCCGCAGCACCCCGGGGTGCCGGCAGCGGGCGGTGCGCCCCTTCGCTTTCTCCCCGCCGGGCCCGCACCGCCTGCCCCCGCCGGAGGGGCAGCCAGGGGCCGCCACAAGCCTTTCACTATCGGAGCGGTAATTAATCGATGCGTCATGGCACGTTTCCCCTCATAGATGCGTAGAAATGAGGAAAAAAAAAAACCCCAAAATAAGGCGGGGGGG